CTTTCGAAAGACCATGTCTTGTTTTGATTTAAACTATATTTAAAGGACAAAAACACCGAAAAAAAATTACCATTTTGAGCGGGCGATTTATACGGCACAGGTGGTATCTCAAAAATACTTACTGCAAACAATTAGCACTGATTCCCCGAGGTGAAAATTGAAAAAACTAACTCGTTCTCTGAGCTATTACAATTCATTGTTTTCCTTGATGAGTCAACACCAATTTTTTCGCCTTTTGAAGGAACGATCAACGTTCAGAAATACCATTTTGAGCGGGCGATATCAGAGGCACAGATGCCGCTTTAAGGAAACTTACTCCAATCAGTTAACACATGCCGAAAAAGACAAATTTAAGAAAGTTATCAAAGCTATCAAAGTTCATTTGCATGCTTTTGATAAGTCAACGTCAATTCTTTACTTTCGAAAGTAAGCGTTTGACTATCAAAAATGAAAAGATTTGGAGTATCGCAACCATTATGACGATTAGTAAGAGACGTTTGGAAGTGAATAGAGACGTGGAAACAACCAGTCAACAATATCAAAGGCAAACACATCATATCAATTAATTATAACCTAGTTGAAAACGTGTGCACGGTGTGAAATTAAGGCAAACTAGAAAATAAGCAACTTCAGCTACAGCTTTTATGTCAATATAATATCAGTTTAATATACAGCCTACTTTGCATAGAGCTTTAGGTTTAGTCAGAAAGGCACATGGACAACGTTTGATAGATATGTTTTCCGTTCATTGAGGAACGTTGATGAGAATGGAAATACAGCCATGGCTACCCACCAAAACACACGCTAGTACCTAATCAGCATGCTATATGCAACGACAAGTAATAGGCCATTCCCGAATTACCTTTGGCCTCCTTTTCAAAACGAGACCTGGTGCTAAGCCACTCGTATGAAAATTAGTTTGATTTGCATGTTAATGAGAACTCACAATCGTATAAAAGAATAACACCAGAATACCGGACTCAGTCTATATTCGGCGCCAGAAGCCAATGATCCCTCCTGATGGCGCTTTACTCTCGTATTGCATGTCGGAAAGGTAGCGC